ACAAAATAGATCAGTGGGAACAGTATAATGAGTAATCCCTTAGTCCATTTAGCAGCTGGAGATGAGATAAAAAAGAAAAAAGGGAGACCAGGGTATTAGAAAGGATGACTGAGCTCCTTCATGGAGGAAGGCCTTGGGTTTTCAGTTTGAAAGGAAGAAACAGGGCCATGCCTAAATTTTCATCAGACATGTATCATAAAGAACTTTGGAATCTTTCCAATGAAATTATTCTGTCATCTTCTTGGGGACTAGATTTTCCATCTCCCTGAAAGCTCTTCCTGCAGATACTACACAGATATTTTAGATTATTGGCCTGCTTATTATTCAGGTCCTAGATTAAAATGGTACATCTACAGTGAGGCCTTTCCTGACAACACAATTCAAAGTAGCTCTTCAGGCTCTCAGCTTGTTTTACTTCTGACTTAGCATCTATTACTGAATATATTCTTTCACATGTTTTTATTATTAATGAATTCCATAACCTACACTCCCCATCTAGAACATAAAGTTTATGACAACAAGGATTCCATCTGAATTTTTCACTCCCATGTATTAGTAATAAGTGAATATAACAGGTGCTTAGTAAAGATTTATTGAATGATTACATGCATGCAAATGTTTTTGGTAGGCCAAGAAAGGTGGTAGAAAAAGACACTTCTTGAAAACTTCTTATTTTCATATTGACAGGAGCTAAGCTTTATTTAAAAATATGTTATTTATAAAGTGATTATTTCATTTAATTATCACAAGAACACCATCATATAAACACTGAAGAGAATAATATGTAGCAACCTGATCAAATATACCCTAGATACAAATAAATGAGGTTTATTTGCATATACAAATATTATATGTATATATACACATATACATGCCAAATATGTGCAACAGATTTGGTTCTGAGCTCCCTAATATCCATGTGCACATGTATAACATGTGCACATGAATATATTACATGATACACCAGAATCATAAGTTGAAAATAAATGGGTTGCCAGAAGAAGCCGTTCTATCTGGAGTTTTACAACTGAAGAAAAATATGTGCCATGGTCTCCTTAATGAAGAAACTTCATAAAGGATGAAGAAAACCACACCATGAATAACATTACAGCAGTAAATGCAAGCATGAGCTTCTAGCACCTATAACACAAATCAGTGTAAGCTGATGGCATTAATTCAAGTTGTGGTTCAATGAAAACACATCTACAGAATAGATACAAAGATTTTAATAGCCTTGTTTAATCCATTGATAAAATGTAAACTATATAGATGAATGAAAATGATTCATGTCATTGGGCAATCCTCCCTCAATATTATTTCTGGCACATATTTTGCTGATCAATACTAGCTGATAGAAATTAGAATATATATTTTCTTTGATGAGTACCAGACCACAAATATTTGGTGTTACTAATTAAGAACGTGCCCATGGGTTTGAAAATGCATAATTTTGGCAACTTCTCAGAAGTTAAAATGCTAACCAGAACATGTACCTGAACAGGCTACTATTGTATTAATAATTATGCAGAAAATTATATATAAACAATGTCACAACTTTCCCTATAAAAAACAAAAACAAAAAAACCCTCTGGTTTTATCCAACACTGAACAGAAGTCTAATTAAAGGCAGAAATTGTATTCTCGTTATAACCCTAAATCACTTAAAAATAGATAAAGCACCCATAAAATAAAATATTTAATTTTATACTTTAAAGTGGTTGTAAAATGTGGCCCTAGGTAACTAAATAATTGTTGTGCTCTAATTCAGGATAAGTGGAATGGCAAAGCATGTAGTTTGTAACAATTGACTTTAAATCACTCTTTCCTACCATCATTACTTATTACATGAGCCTCAATGACATTGAATGGTGAGCAGTAGTTTATCAACCTCTTTCAAAGATTAGTAAACCAAGCCCGAGATACCTCATGTAAATTGCCAAGTGACAGATCCAGTGATTGGAGACCCAGGAATGCTAATTCTGGACCTGGGATTCTAACTACTTAAACATTCTGCCTTACTTTTGTCAGTTTCTGTCTGATAGATGAAATTAATAATATTTTTGGAGTGAGAAAGAATCTTGTGGTCGTTTTGCTTAGCCATCTTATTTTACAAATGCATTAAAGCTGAATAAATAGTTCACTTCAAGTTCATATCCTAGTCAGTGATAGAATTAAAATAGAACCATTCCAGATTTTTTTCTAAATGAAGCTTCTTTATATAAAGAACACCTTAAATTAAGAAACATGTAGCATAAAAAAGTATAATTAATATTAAAAATGGTCAAATTATGTATAATAAAGGCTATTTTTCCACATAAAAGACCATCAACGAATGATAGAATAATGAAGGAGGGGTTAACTGTTATCTCTTCCAATGCTGAGTGACAAATGAATCCCCTAAGAGAAGCAATTGGCTGACCAAATACACTGAGAGACTCTACTTTCAGGATTCTCAGTTATTTACACAACAGCCCATTCTGTTTAGGGAGAAATTCCAATTTTCAGGGTTTTTTAAACACAAATTTTACCTTCTTCAAACAAGATGCACCTAGTTCTTTGAAACCTTCAATGGTTGTTCTGGGCAATTATCTTTACATTTATCAATGTTCTTTTTCAACTGTGGACAGAGCTCACAGTTGAAGGAATGCTCTTCTGTTCAGAGTGCTGGCCTATTTTACAGCTCCTTCTCTGTTAAATGTGCCTAGGCTAATATTATCCATGCTCTAATTGCCTATTGGCCATGACACTGTGATACTTTCTAAACTTTAATTTATAACTTTTTACACAACACAAAATGTCTGTGCCATAGTCACAATTTTTCTAGCTCTTAAATATTATTATAGATTTAAAAAATATTCTGTTCTGATGTTCACTAAAGTTGGGAAAAATATTCTGGATGGTTTTAGAATGTTGAAAATAATCTCTGAAACCCCATCAAAGGTTTTCAGGAAATGAAAATCTCTTTTTTTAAGGTAGAGATTAGCAATAAACAAACAAACAAAAAAATAGGTAGGTAATTCAGTACCGGTGGAAGGATTGGACAAAACTAAAACTCCTTTGGTTATTTTAAATGAAGAATTGACTTTGACTGTAGGCAAAGGAAGAGAGACCAGTGTTCTGGGAGAAGGGGCTGAAATGGAAATAAAATGATCTTAATTGTTAGAATAAGAACCTATAAAGATATGGGACCTACCCTTTCATTCTGCTTATGTTATATGCTTTAAACTTTTATTAAAATGAAAGTTTGCAGTGAAGAAAAATTTGCATATGGATTTGATGTTTAAAAAATGCCATCAAAGTGAAATGAAATATTAATTTTCAAAATAACTTCTAATAATTTCATAAATTAATCATGTATGTTTCACTTTTAACTGATAAAAAATGTCCTTTTAACTATAGGCTATCAAGGTACATTTGACAATAGCCAGTGTTCATTGGTTTCACAATCAGAGATAGATTGTAGAATTTCACACAATTCAAGTAGAAAAAAGGGCTAATTTATCAGGATTACTTAAACTGACTAAAGGAACTATGAAAGAGTATTCTCAGAAATATTCAAAGAAGCAATTACATTTTACAGTGTCTCCAAATCATTTCAAATTTGTCATATTTTAAGTGCTATTAAATGTTCTTTTTGATTGGAAGAGCCCTGAAAATGATAGACAGTTTTGTGCTGTGCAAATTAGCAGTTTCCCCTAATTCTCTTCACAAAACTGTCATTTTTTTCCCTATCATCTCATCCAAGTTAACATAATGGAGACTCTTGTAAAATGTGAGCCATATGCCTCATGGTGTAGTTCATAATTTAAATTTTATCAATGATACCTTTATTTTTTTTAATGTGACAAATTTCATATAGTTTGTGCCTGTTTTGTTTCCCTCCATTACTCCTCAAAATATATATCTTTTTTTTTTCATTTAAATCTATATTTCTGTGCATGGAGAGTATCAATTTCCTTTGGACCCCAAAATACCATCCTAGAATGACATGTGTGTGTTTGTGTGTATATGTGTGCATTCACCATTTGCACCTAGGCAGACTTTTGATATACTAGTCCCTCCTTCATTGCTATTATTGTTTGTCAGAGTCAAGTGAAGTGAGCTAGAAGTAGATACATTCCCTTTCTAGAAAACTCATTTTTTGTCAGAAGAAAATTTTGTGTGACTGCTTCATTTCTTGGTCTTCATGAGGACAAAAATGATGTAGTTCCATATGTCTCCTTTTATTTGAATTAAATGAGACATTTCTTAACAGTTAATAGCCGAGCATTAACTTCCTGGGAACTTCTTGGTTCCTAATTTCATTCTCTGCAATTTTAGGTGATAAAAAGAAAAGAGTGACTGCAAATGTCTCAATCTATTCTCTAACAACTGGAAAAAATATGAAGAAAACAAAAACAAAACAACCTGTTGTGATCTTTGGTAAATGACGACTGGTAGAGAAAGAGAAGGTAAAAAAACTAACAAGACTTTCCAAAGGAAAGAAAGTCATACACATCACACATATACACAAGCCACTTACAGGTACTAGGACTAATGGGAGGGGGGAAGTACATAAGTAATTCAGCTTCCATTTTAAAATTGCAGTAATATACCTCCTATATCACTACCCATGTCATATGTATTAATATTAATAAATAAACATCTTTGGCCATCACACATTCAAATGTATAATATTTGAAGATGCTAAAACAGTGTTTTAGAGTACAAAAATGATTTTAAGCAGATGCAAACCGTGTACAGACTGTCTGAACCATATCATCACACCTGTGATAGTTTTACAGAGAACCATTTATAAGCCCAACAGTGGATTGCCAACATGTCAATAACTTTCTCCAATCACTTTGGGGTACACAAATTAGAGGCGTCAGTTAATTAAGTATATGAATAAATAAAAAGAAAATTACCTGCCTTCTTGGTATAAGAAAAATGAATTTTAAGACACAGAATGGTATTTCATTTCATCCTGGAAATATAATTAAAATGCATTCAGCATTTACCTCATGTGATTAAAAATCCACTGGACACTTTAGAAGCCCAAACAGCTCATGATGCAGCTTTCCAGTGGCACTCTTCAATTCCTATAAATAGCAGGAAGGTGAAAAAGAATATTCAGAGCAACATATGTCTTTGTAAAATGACAGTGATTAGCTATGTAATTTTCATTATCACTCTACACTGCCATTTAAAAAGTATCTCCTTATATATTGTTGTTACAATAGCTTTTGTTAAATATGCAACATGGCAATGAAATTTTTGTCTGTCTGGGACTTCTGACGCACTAAAATAAACTCCAAATTATAAAGTATTACAAAAAATCAAACCATTCAATTGCTTGTTATTTTATTGAGAAAGGTTATTGTACTATGAAAACAAAAGAATTTGTAATTGAGAAGTTTTCTTATTATATACACATTACCACACAATCATTATTCTAGTCACAACACTGAGTTATAAGAAGTACAGGGTTTGGCTCCTTCTTTAGTTTTTACCATTGACAACTTTAAGTAGATTATAGCAAATATTCTTATGTTATATCCCATATTTTTCCTGGAAAATATTTCTAAAATGCAGCATTTTATGGGAAACATATGGGAAATACATTAAATATACTTGTTAAAATAATAAAATAATTATAGAATATATACATTAAAATATATAATAACTCAAACTTTTATAGTCTGTTTCAATTATCTATAGAAGAAATCTTTTTAAAAAATCATTATTTTCTCCTTGCTAAAAGAGAAATAAAATGATAAGCAAGATATATGGGTGTTCTGCTGCTGCACATTGTCACTTTTTATGTTCCCTATGCACAGAAACATAATATTTAGGTAGAATGGAAACTGTATGACATTCTTCTCCTAGATCCCCACCATCCCAAATCTCATACATGTGCTGTTAAATTGAGGCCCAAATCTAAGTGAATCAGCACCATGGACATCTGCCCAGCCTCTCCCTTTCCCTCTTTTCTGTAAATCTCTAACCCATTAGGTGACAAAGAAGGTCAAGGCAGGAAAAAAAGAGATGATGCAGGAACAGTATTCCTAATTGAGGAATATAACTTTGTCAAGGCACATGTAGCAGGTTAGAACAAAAATAAATGAGCATCTTCTTATCCCATCATGAGAAATCATATGAAGCCATGGTTTAAGTGCTAAATTCATACAATATATTACAAATCCAATGTTCCTAAAAGCTACTATCAGGAACTAAACATATACATTTCTTACTATATGCTTTGTCTCTGTTGCCTGTTTTAGGGTATTATAACTCACTTTGAAGAAAAGATGCTTTCCAGCCAAATAAATTGTGTACAGTAAATAACATGTCCCATTAGATTCTAGAAATACATCAGAGATACATTTACATTAGGGGAAAACAGACTTTGAAAGCAAACTTTGACACTTTTAGCAAGAAAGAACATTCTAAGTTCATAACAGTGGGGCACTAGGCAGAAAAATACTGAAATTCCAGGAATGACTGCTACTTAGCATTTCATAAATTTCTGGATATATTGCAGAATTATACTCCTTTCCTAACAATGCATCAATTCCTTCAATGTCTGGTTGTCTCCTAACTTTGTACGGTATTTATGTTTTTCTGCTTTGTTCTCATCTTATGATTTGTAAATCTATAGTAAGCAACCCTAAACCTTTATTGAACGTTCACTGTGACAAATACTGAGATAGGTGCTTTCATATGTGAACCTCATTTACTCACACTTTGTACCCATTGGCTTATATATTACATATCTCAACATAAATATTCTAATTGGAAGTTGCATGTTGCATAAAATAAAGTGCTGTTTCCAACTAACTGTAAACCTTAAGTTCTATATATTTAATTTTCTTAAAATGTTTTTTAATGTCTAAAGTATTTATTGAATAGTTAAAAACAAATATGGAATGTGAAAATTATTACATAAAACACATTGTCTAGTTGCCAGAAACTGTCCACATGCTTAGGATGATCAATAAGATCTAAAGCAGGCAGTGTACCTAATAAAAAACTGAGAGTTAATTTCACAGTTACGATCGTGACATAGTGGTGAAGAGAGAAAATAATGTCAAAGCAATGAAGGTCAATGAAGGTGCTGTAACAGTAACTTTAGAGGGATTAATAATTTAAAACTATAATCAGGCCTGAATTAGTCCCCATTCAAACAAAAGTGATTATAACTTCAAGACTAGCAAAATGCAAATGAAATTTATAAAAAATAATTCTTGGCTGGGCATGGTGGCTCATGCCTGTAATCCCAGCACTCTGGGAGGCTGAGGCGGGCAGATTGCTCAAGGTCAGGAGTTCGAAACCAGCCTGAGCAAGAGTGAGACCCCATCTCTATTAAAAATAGAAAGAAATTAATTGGTGAACTAAAAAATATATAGGCAAAATATTATCTGGGTGTGGTGGCACATGCCTGTAGTCCCAACTCTTAGAAGGCTGAGGCAGAAGGATTGCTTGAGCCCAGGAAATTGAGGTTGTTGTGAGCTAGGCTGATGCCACGGTACTCTAACCCAGGCAACAGAGTGAGACTCTGTCTCAAATAAATAAATAAATAAATAAATAACTGTTGTTTTGTTGGCTTTTTCAGACAATGAGTATAATAATCTCTAAGAATAAGCAATACTTTAAATTGATTCAAACTGGGGTAAACATGTCCTTTAGGTTTACGGTGATATGCTAGTGAGTATTTGAAACTAAAGAAAAAATAACAATCTTTCTGGACCTTCAGTGATACTTGAAGTTTTAGAAGGAAAAACATACTATGAATGTTCCCAGGTTTAAGTAGTCTACAGTTATGAATTTATTTCTCTACCTTTACAGGAGTTTCAGAGCAAAAGTCTGAGTAACTTGACTGTCATTCACTAGAACTTTTTAATATTAAAAGCAAACATTTTTCTAAAGTTAAAACAAAACAAAACAAAACATAATGACAGTACTACTTGATTGATTGAATCTCTCTATAGATTCCACTGAAAAGCATTGCCGTAAACCATACCAAAGGAGAATCTTGCACTTTTACTACATTAAATGCTATTTTAGTATGGAATGTACCAGTATATCACCCGTTCTTCAATAGAGAAATGCAGTAGTAAAAAGGCATATTTACTTCTTCTTTAAGTTGCCTGGTTTTAAACTGCTTTGTTTGGTGGTTCCCAACAGAATGACAAAGTCTTCACTCTGGATTGCTTTGGTGGCTTACATTTCTTAAGAGATGTACATGGTAGAATATCAACATTTTATTTGCTTTAATCTTTTCAAAACCCAAGAGTGAAAGCAATACACTGTTATCTTTCTATTAGGTCAATCAAGTTAAAACTTTTCATTGTGTTTAAACTTTTAAAAAGTTGAAATTCCACCATAAATTTTTGCAAGTGGGCCACATTTTTGTTTGGTCTTAAAACATATCTATATAAAATCTATCTCTTTAAATTACATACAACACATTTTTTTGTGCCTTGTGTACATTAAAATGATAATAATAGTTACTGCTTTTCTTATATCAGGCACTAAGTACTTTATATCTGTTAATATCTGCTCACTTATTCTCATACAAATCTAAAGATACTATTTTATCCCAATTGAAGAAAAATTGAGGCACAGAGCAATTAACTAATCAATCAAGTAACAGAACTAGGATTTATTAATAAACCAAGGTGGTTGACTCCAGAGCTTGAGCTATTAACAATTGCTATACTATTTCTAATTAAAATATGTCAATAATGTCATTCTGGTAACAATTGTACCAAAATGTTCCTTACCATCGTAACAACATTTAATCATAAAATTCAAACCACAGAAATAAACACAGTATGGCAGAAACTGCTTAATGAAAAAACAGAGTTGAATCTCTCTGAAGACATTCCTGCTTAGCTTACCACATATGCACCATATCTGGTAGAATACCAAACACATAGTAAACCAGTGTCCAAGAAATATTTGTTGTATGAGTGAATTTATAAAGAAAGAAATAAATTGATATGAGCATTGGTATTTCTGCAAATCTCGGCTGAAAGTGCAAGTTTCAAACACATCAATTAAGTAGACTAATCTACATTCGGCACACATTTTTATTAAATTCATTTCCTCACCTTCAACTATACTGTCCAACACTCTCACATAGTCCCTTGAGCCTCGCTACCTGTGTTCCATTTACAACTGCCTATATTCATATTCATTAAAGTCTTCTTTTATGCTACAGACATTTAATAAACTGCCCTAATGAAAAAAAATCTGCTGTAATTCCATTTAATGTAAGTACATTTTAACAGAGGCTTTTGAGAGAAAATATTATAATTCAGGCTAGTAATTCTAACAGTGGCAACATCAGACAGTCATAATATAAACCAGAAATCCAAACTCTGAAGCCAATACCCAGGTTGTCTTGGGTTCTTGTTCCTCCTCTCTCATCTCCTCAGACACATCCTAAATCCATCTACATGTTATCCTCTTCACTGCCACCCACCTGTCCAAGCTGTTACCTTTCTCCTGTGTTACCCCCATGGTCTCCTAACCAGTCTTTCCTCTCGTGCTCTTGCCCTTCCAATCTGTTGCCCTTCCAATCTGTTCTCTACTTTCCAGCCAAAGTTATCTTACAATATCAATTGGATCATATCTCTCCATAAATGACCTCCCCTTGCACTTTGGAGATTTTTAAAAACTGTTCTTTCTTTTTTAATCCTTAACCTACAAGGCCCTGCTTGATCTATTTACAGTAGACCTCTCCAGCCCCTCCTCCTGAACTGATCGCTCTAGTTCACCAGGCTCCATTTGGGCTGAAAGTTCCATTCTATTTCAAGGCCCTTACATGGGCTGTCGTCTCTGTTACAGCAATCCTCTCCTTGCCTTCTCTCATTAGGTTTCCACTTAAATGCTACTTGGAAATGTATATCACATTCTAAAAGGAAGTCAAATACACAACAAATATGAACTACTAACTATTCAATGAAATCATATTTATCTGAGTAATTATTTGATTATATTTTGTCTTCCTCATAAACATGAAAACTCAAGGTGAACAGGAACCATGACTATAATGCTACCACCACAAACTTGGTTCCTCAACAGTGCTTTGCTT